TATGGCCAGGAGGGGCCAAAATGTGTGGTACAGAAAGGTCTGTCTAGTTCTTTAATGTTAAAGATCTGTGAGATAGCAGAGAGTTGTATAAGAAACTCTCATGTCTTACTAAGTGCAAGGAAAGCTATGCTGATGCCTTGGTTGTCAGGATGCTTAGCTGATGTGTAGAAATTCATAGGAGCACTTAAACTTTGCCAACTGTAGTTTTCATTAAAAGGGAATTTCTAAAACTTTTTTTCTATCACTGTTTGAATATACATAGTTATTACTTGCAGTCCTTTCTGAACTGCTGTGTTGTCCTATGGGACTGAAAAGCATAACTTGTTGTGTCTTAGGTGAAAAACATGAGGCTGTATAACTTTATATGGTACTTGAGGGATATGATATTAAAATAATGCATAAAGACTTTGGCATTAAATATCTTAAAATAAAGCAGCTGAAATGTTTCCAATTGAAGTTAAATTGAATATTCAAGTAGTTGAAAAGATAAAAACAAAGAATGCAGTTTCTGTAAATACGGAAGACTATTTGTCTAGATCATCTTTCAGTCTCATTAAACAGCCATAAGTGATTAAAATACAAATTAGAAAGCTGCACATCATGTTGCAGCCTACTCATGTAGGCTGAGCTCATCAGAACCTCCTTTGTTCCTCCATTTCCTTCCACCTTCCCCTTGCTGCCGGTGCCAGCAGCACTGCTTTACCCCGTTTAGCAGGGCTCTGCGGAAGCACCACCTGTGCCAGGGTCTCTGTTACTCTTGACTCCTTTCGTATTGCTGATCCTGTTTCTTCCTTTGCTGCCCTTTGAGCCTCCATATAACCCTACATTCCCTCGCACGTGTTGGGGACTGCGGTCTACCTTCAGATTTTCCTTTTTTTCCTGTGATTCTTAATTGTTTGTCTTGGACGTTGATACGTTGATAGCGTAAACAATTTAAACAGTATGGAAAACAAAGGGATTGCAGAATTGAGGGGTTTTATGCTGGGAACTACTTTGCTCCTGTTGGCTAGTTTTTAATCTATAAATCTCAAGCTACAGACTTCATGTCTCTTACATGCCTCTAACAGGTTCTAATTTTCACCAGAATAGAGAAAGCTATTCTGATACACAGAACTTTCCCCAGATTTTCTGGAATTCATTATTCATTATATGAGTGTAGTCATTATTAAGTAAGAGGTGGTGAGTAATTTTCAAGTTGAGATTATAAATAATTTATTTGTATAGACCAGTGGTTCGTTTGGCTTTTTTTGGTAAAATAGTAAGAAATATAATTAATTTATCTATCTCTTTTAGGAGCAATGGATGAGCTTCATAGCCTGGACCCAAGAAGACAAGAATTGTTAGAGGCAAGATTTACAGGAGTAGTAAGTGGCAGCACTGGGAGTACTGGAAGTTGCAGTGTTGGAGCTAAAGTAAGTTCTAAGAGCAGTCATCCAAACCTGCCATCTTTGAAATATTAATTTATCTCACATTCTCTCATTCATATATTGCCCATGTGATTTACTTGTGAAAGTACTGTGCTAGAGGAGGCTCTTGGAAAAAGCCTTGTTAGTCTGTTATTTTGCTTTGAGATGGAATTGTTTATCCTGCACCTGTCTATGACTTGGACATCATATTGTTCTTAAAAATGCCAAAGAATGGGCTTATACAGGCTCTTTTCTGGTTTTGCTCTAGTGCATATGTGATCAGAGACTGGAAGTTTTTCCCAGTATTTAAGTGGAGTTTTCCCTTCTGCAGATGGCCAGCTACTTAAAGCTTGGCTTGAAATGGACACAGGGAGTCTGGTGTGACCTCTGTTTTTAAGATTATGCTTGTTTGAAGACTAATGTATTTAGATTAACAAAGCCAAATTTGTTCAACTTTTCCAGACATTTATAGGAATTTTAACTACTTTCATTGTAGACTTTCACTAGTCTATCTGTTAGTATCTAAACCAGGATGCAAAATGTGAGGAAAAACCTTGTGAACATAGTGGGAATTAATTACCTTCTGTGTGTCATATACCACCCTTCAGCTGATACACCTGCAAAATAAATTTGCCTTTATTACAAATTCTGTTTAAGTTACTAACTTCAGCTTTCAAGACCTGTCTTGGAATACTATTGCCTAGCCAGACTTCCTTTTTGCCTCATGCCCACAGCCACACATACCAAATCTGCATTTTCCTAACCTAGCAAGACAATACAGAGGTTGCAGATGCACTTACTGGTTATTTTTGGAAACAGTCGAAGTAATTATTTTTTAGTAATTAAATTGAGATTTACTAATTGAGACTACTACTTTAAAAGTCTACTGTCTTGCTGAAGAGTTTTGGAATTGTTGGGGAAAAAACTTTGTTACTTTGGGGGAAAATGATTTGTTTTAAGAATGTAGAATAATACTGTTAATAGGTTGTAATTTTCTTGTATTGAATGGATTTAAAAAATAATCTCTGCCAGAGCCTAGTATCTTCTTTGGAAAATGAAAATTTTTAGTTGTCTCCAGCACTTTCAGCCATATTTGCTTTATATGCCCATTCTGTGGAATAATTTCATAGGGTTTTTAATAATACGTTTCAATCAAACCAGATTGAAATGTTTTAGAGTTCTACTTTGCTTAAGAGCAATCGAAATACAGAATTTACTCTGTCTTGTCAAAACATCCACCTGTCAAACTTCTTACCCCCTTGCAAATCACCAGTGCTCTATAATAATTTTTTTTCTTTAAAGCATTACATTTCATTACTATTACTTCTTTAAATGTGAATGCTAGTAGTGGATTAGCTGTTTTATAAAGCTGCATATAATGTTTAGTATTTTATTTGTCTTGGTAGGCCTCAACAAATAATGAAAGTTCAAATCACAGTTTTGGAAGCTTGGGATCTTTAAGTGATAAAGAATCAGAGGTAAGTATATGGGGAAGATGTATTATTACTTCAAAATTTTAGTGCTATCAAGTAATATTTATTCCATTTTGATGCCTTATTTTATATAGAAGCTTTTAAAGTAAAATACAAAATGCACAGTTAGATAGGAAAAAGCATACCTTACTAAAATATGCCATCTCTTGGAGAAGTCAACACGACTTCATAAAAGTTTCTTTGGATTTTTGGTCATGAAACTAGCTGCTTTTGCTTTATTATACATGTAGTCATAGTGTGAGAGTATATACAGCTTTTGGAGCTGAAAATTCTTAATTGGTTTGCTGTATTTTGTCTAGTAAGCAGTAAGATTTTCATCAGCACAGGTAAACTTCAACTAGTCTTTGCATCTTAGAAAATACTCTAGAAACTAATTTGCTATGTTTTCTTTCAAAATATGGATTTACTTCAAGGTCAGACAGTAGCTATCATATACATTTGTAAAAGCTGCAGTTGTCACTGTATTTTCTTACCTCATACCACTTTGTAATCCAAAAAAGAATTCATACTCTTACTAGGTTTTAATGTGCAGAGTGCAGACCATCCTGGAGTAAATTTTCCTCTTAGTGACCAGCACCGATGTAGTTGCAGTAATGCAGTTCTTAGAATTTACCTATTTTTGAGTTGGTGAGTCCCTCTGACAATTTTGCTTGTGTACATCACATATTGCATCAGTAAGATGATTCCCATTGTAGGCGAGAGTGTATTTCTAGCCCAGGCTAGACCTGTGTTTGCATATGTCATGCTGGAGGGAGAGTTGTTAAAAATGTGCTTTTGACATTATTTTCACATGTTAAAGCTTTATTTTGGGGTTTGATTTTTCATTCAGTCACTGTGAAACATTGATGTTTGCTTTTATATTGGGCTGAATTTAGTTGGTTTCCCATGGTACCTTCTAAATGAATATTCTATATGTGTGATTTCGTTTTCCTCTTTGAAAAAGTCCTTGTGATGTTTTTTTCCCCTTGCCTTTCCCAGCTGCTTTTTCTTTCCATTGTCTTAACCAGAAGAGTGGCTGCCTGTTGTTTTTCCTCATGGCTTTTCCTAGAAATACTTGAGGCAGTGTTACAGTGATGCAGTTCTGATGTTGGTGTGGGAGTGGAAGTGTGCTGCAGTAGCCTGGAGGTTGCGATGCATCACTGCAGTTCTTTGACATAAAAATGTGTCTATGTGTAGTTGAGTGATCTCAAAACGCTGTTTTTATGTATAATAACTTTTTTTTTTAGTAAAATACAATTTTACAGTTTTATACAGGAGATACAGGGACAAGGTTTCCCAAGGCATGTAAGTTTGAAAGTCCAATCCATATATTCAGTCTGCACAGTGTTTTAACCCCAAGCCGTGCTTCTGGGTAGGGACAGTTTTTTGTTTGCTTTTTTTTTTTTTTTTAAGGTTGTGTTGGGGTTTTTTTGTGGTTTTGGTTTTTATTGTTTGGTGTTTTTTTTTTAATATTCTAAAACTTGTATTCTTAAATGGAAATAGACTTTTTTTCTAGAAAATCCCTGCACAGATCTCCAGTGCATAGTGCTCCAGGTTTGTTGTGTTTTCTGAAAGATGAGTCTTAATGACATTGAATAATGGAATATGATTTCTGGAGCCATTTCCAGAAGTTGTCAGTTGTATTCACTTAAATTGAATTGTAATTGTAATACCAAATATGTTAATAATTTTTTAGAGTTTTGTTCTTAAAATAACATCTGGTTACTTATATACTGTCATCTTATAAAAAGTACACTTCTGTTCTTAATATTGAGAACAAGTTGTGGGGTTTTTTTGGAGTTTGTTTTTTTTTTTTTTTAATGGTGTGACAATGAAGGTTTCATGGTAATAGGGAATGCCTCTTGTGGTTGGTAGTGTAGAAATACAAAGACTCATAGAGGTGGCAGTGCAATCATTTGATGCTGGGAGAGCTGTTGTATTACAATAGATATCAGAAGGAAAGAAAAAAGTAGAAATGCAAATCTTGGAATCTCTGAAATTAATTTCTAGCAAAAATGTCAGTTTCTGGCCAAATTGTGAGGAACATTCATTCATTCTTTGCCAAAACAAATAGGATATTTGCAGTAAATTTATATTTTAAGATATCAATATGAAGGTTTTTGAACTGAAACATTTGAAATGCTTTTAGTGATGACTTGATATTTGAATTTTGAAATAATTTGCTATGTTGAGAAGGAACACTTGGAGCACAAAATGACAAATACAGTAAAGTGATAAAAAGATGGTACAGTGAAAAATAAAACACTGATCTCAAATTTAGTCTGAGATATTAGGGACCATTGATTTCTTGACTGTAAAACCAAGAGTTCATGTAATGGCTTCTGTGCTTTCTTCAGCAACTGGTATGAGACTGATTAGAGGCTGAATACAAACACAGCTGCAGTATCTTTTCCTTGAACCAAAGCAGCTTGTAGAATTTAACTTACACTGGGGAGACTAACTGGCTTGAATTCTCAGATCAAGGGAGAGCAAATATAATTTAGAGATGTTTCTGATCACATCCCTTTCTTGTTATTTATGTTGTACATGACAGTTGTAGTTTCTAGGCAACTAAATATAATATTTCCGGAATAAAACAGAAACAACACTACTTTTCAAGTGGATAGATACTCAAATTTTGAGCAATTGCTCTGTTTTTTTTCCTCTGTTTTAATTTTTATATTTTTTTAATCCTAAGGAGATTCTAGAAATCTACAGTTTATATTATTTTGGAGATTACTTTTGCACTTCTGAAAATCAATGGTGTTATTTGCTTCCTACTGAAGCACTGGAACTTTGTGATATACTGTGGCAATGTGTAGAAAACACTATCAAGAATCAGCTTATTTCACTAAGTATTAAGCTTTAAAACACTCACAGGTAAAATGTAGCCGTAAGCGAAACCAAACTGGATGTTCATAAACCCCAGAATGAATGAAAAGGTATAATAAGGTATAAGGTATAACAGGTATAAAAAGGTATAAGGCTTAACAATTAATATGTAGAGTTGCCTTTTGGGAAATTATTTAAGAATTATTTATCACTTTCTTAAATACCTTTTCTAGCTTGTATTTATCTGATTGACCAAGGATCGTATTACCTACTTAACTGCAATCTGAAATTACATCCCTGCTGAATTGTGAAGTCATGTTTTATGAATGACGATTTAAACCTATTTCACAACAATATGGTAATAATATAAATAAATAGAGCTGCTGTTGGATCATGTTCTTTTTGATGTTTGTAGACTCCAGAGAAGAAACAGTCAGAACCTTCCAGAGGAAGAAAAAGAAAAGCAGATACTCAGAGTGAAAGCAGCCAAGGTAAACAAATGAATTAGATAGTTACTGCATGTAATTAATACAATTACAATGCACAAAGTCTTGCCTATTAGCCTTAAAAATTCTGTATTTTTGCTTGTCTTTTGCATAAGACAAATGTTGGGTTTTGGGTGATAAATCATGAATCCTCCCTCCCCCCTCATTTGTCACTAGAAGGGATGTGCAAGTAAAACCTGACCTGGGCTGGTAACTGCCCATAAGAATTGTGTGCTACTGCATGTGTAACTTGCAGCTATGATACAGCTCTCTATTCTTTAAGAATTGTAGCAGCTCCTCTCATCCAAAATACCTTTGTGGTTTGTATTTCTTTTCAGTAGGTAAGGGGGAAAAGGGATTACAGATTATAATATCTTGATTGCTTTTTTTTCAGGTTTATTTAAAAATCAAATTTTATTCTTCCTCTTCTGAGAATTATTGTACAGTGTAGTTATCTAGAGAAACGGGGAAACTGGGATAAGACTATTTCCAACTGAATACTTATAAAGCATAGTTTTTGTCATTCTTCTCTTTATTGTGCCTTTTGGGGGAGACATTGTGGAAATTTAGCTTCAACACAAAAATTCATCAAAAGGGGAGAGGGAACAGTTTTGATAACATCTGTATTAGCCTTTTTTAATTCTTAGTAGAGCTAGGAAACACCACTTCAGATACACATCAATGGGCTCCAATATCTGGAAGTCTTCATGATGCAACATACTATTAGTAGAAGAATTATGTAGTTTCACTGAAATTAATTTCTTTGTAAGTGTTGCTTCATAGAGACCCATTTTGTTCAGACAACTTGGTTGAAATTTCTTATTTGCATTGTTCTAGTAGCCTGTTCTTCCTGGTATCGATGAGAGTTGAAATTAGAGGTGATCAAAATTTTTTGAACTTTTTGGCAAAGACAATGTTATTATAATGTCTTATAATTACTATTTTACTGTGAGCAGCAGTGAAACTGAATAGTCTGCACTGCAATATTCTCAAGGAACTGCCGTAGAAAACTGCAGCATATTGGAGTGGCACAGGACAGTTGTAGGGCAGCAAATACTGCTGGTTTATTGAAAAAGGGAATAAGAGATCCATCTCTTGCATATTGCATACCTAGATATTTTATAGTTTTATTATTTATTATTTTGCAAATAATCCATAGATGATGAAGAAGAGTGTTGTTTAGAACATGGAGGTAATTGGAAAGTGAGATAAAATCAGTGTAAATCTATTCATAATTGGCTATGCCAAAAGAATTTTATGTATTTCTTCAGTGCAGAGTTCTGTAACGTGACATAGAATAGATTTTTCTGTACTGAAAAGTAACGCAGTCTGTCTCATTTATCTGGTTGAAAGCAAATTTTAATTAGATAAAGTGATATATGACAATGAGGCATGAAGACAGAAGTCACTAGCAAAATTACAGGATAGGTAAGGAACAGCCAGAGGTCAGTGATTAGCAGCCTAGGTGGGTAAATACTGGAAGAGCTAGCTGTGTGCTCTTCTAGGTCTTCTAATTATTTTATCTAAACATTTCTGTTAAAAGTCATAACACAAAAAGGGCTGCCAAGTGTTTCTGTTTCTTCATGGTATTTCTTAGTGACACAAAGTTATGCAGTCCTGAAGATAAAGAGACACATTGGACTAGAAAAAAATTATTCAGGGCTGAAGCAATAGTTGAGCTTAAAAATCTTTGCTAAGAAGTTTGCTAATTACTTCCTAATTTATTGCAAAAAAATTATTTCTATAAAGAAAAAACCTTTTAACAGTGGTCCATATTCAAGATCACAGACCCACAGAATTGCTTAAGTTGGAAGGGACCTTAAAGATCATCTAGTTCCAACCCCTCTGCCATGTGCAGGGACACCTCCCATTAGATCTGGTTGCTTACAGGCCCATCCAACCTGACCTTGAACACTTCCAGGAGTGTCTCCTAACAGGTAATCTGACCTATTCAGGAAACAAATACAGTCTTAAGATTTAAAGCATTTATGCCATTGGGTAAGGCATGGGTGTGATCTCTGGAATACTGGTTCTGGGTCACACACCAATGCTCCTGAAGTCTCGATACTGATTAAGATAAAATAAATTCTACTCTCAAATTTTGCTCTATCTCCCTAGTTAACCCTGTGAGTTAGCTGATTCAGAATCAGGTTCTAGGAATGGAAATACTTTTTATCCTCTATGCCCACGCTGTTACTGGCATATAGGGAAATCCTTGGGCTGAAGATTTGTGCACAATAACTCACCTGAAGCATAAAATGTTATCAGACTTGGTCAATTTGATATTTTCGAAGTGGGTGAACTTTGAGATAGTCCTTGAAAAGAGGAGGAACTTAGAGCTAAAGGTTTGATCTGTAGGATGAAGCATGAATTTTGTGTTCTTTAGAGGTGGTTGAGGCTTACTGGTAAGTCTGCACTGATATAGTTTAGGAATTTAAGTGTGACTTAATTTCTGATTTCTCAATTAATGGAATATGCAAATTTCTTCGTGGCCAGTCCCATAATTATATACATAGGGAGATCACACAGCAAAGAAAAGCAATTAACAAGTGGTAAGACTTTGCTATAATTACCGAATAGGTAAAAATGTGAGACATATATCTGTAAGTAATTTAGTTAATCACTTCTAATGTGTGAATATATTTGTTTCAGGAAAGAATATTGGGGGACGTGGTCACAAGATAAGTGATTATTTTGAGGTAAGGTTTTTGTGTGTTTGTAAAATTTAGCTTTAAAATTTACTTTTACCTTTTTTGGATGTTAAAAAATTTTGCTTGTAATGGACAGGCCTCTTGAGAGGATACTTTTTTTCTTTATATAAGTTTTATGAGTATTAATTAAACCTTGAAGTAGGGATGTAGAGGTCTCTTGGTACAGCCTGAGCTAATACACAAAAAACAATTTCTTTCATTAAGTTCTTTAAATGGCCAGAGGCTACATGAATAAAAGTAATAACAGTCTGATTTACAAATTCTGTGTGTACATGAGCTGTATCATGCAGTAGTTGTATGATGTATTTTGAGAAGAAGATTGACTAATTGTAGGGTCATATCTTCTCTACAGTATCAAGGTGGAAACGGCTCTAGTCCAGTGCGGGGTGTACCTCCTGCAATCAGATCTCCTCAGAATTCACATTCCGCTCCTTCTTCTGTAAGTTTGTGAACTTCATAACTGCTGGAGATAATATGAAAAAAATCTGAACTTGAGGGAAGAGTTTTCAGAGAAAGGATTCCTGGGAAGGAGTTAATTCTTTCAACAGTGAAAAAAAAAGGATCATGTTAAATATTAAAAATAAAATTTTCCGTTAATGCTGGGACTTGTTCTTTAAAACATTATTTTTAAACACAAAGTAATTAGTTAAATATGGAATAAGTTTTTAATTACATCTATTCAGAAGCCTCATACTAAAAAGAGGAGGAAACTGAACCCCTAACTTGGGAGCTCAGATTTTGATAAATCACAGGTTTTTAAATAATTGACATCTGATTTGCCTGTATCCATTTAAAATTCTCTGAGTTGCACATGCTAATTCATTTTTTCCTCATATGCACAATTTCAGTGTTAAGCATACACACATGATTCTAAATGGCCAGATTCTGCCAGTTAGAGAAATTATTTGTTTTCTCTGTTGGTAGACCTCTCTCTACTTTCAAATTTAGGGATCATCTTATTCTTGTGGAATTTGACTTGAAAATGGTCTCATTCACACAAACTAGTGGGTTTTGAGAAGTTTCATTAACAGAATTTGTGTTCTGATCTGCAGTAGCTTCCCCTTTCTGGTTCTCCCATGGGAAGTAACTTCTGAAAAAAATACTCACAGTACTTTATTTTGAGATGCAAAAGCTTAGAATCAGAAAAATAAGACTGTGTAAGAGACTTGTCACCTTATGTCAAGTCTTGTCTTAAGTCATTCAGTCATTTTCCCAAATGTGACAATCTTGTTTTTTTCAGAGAATATTTTGTATCCTTTCTAAATACCAGGTGGTATATAACAGTATAGTGATAGCTCTCAATGCAGTGTCCCAAGTAGTATCCTCTATAATAAAGACAGCAGTTTCCTCTATTCTATAAAGTGTTCCTGCCAAGGTAAACAAGGCTATGTTCATAATTTGAGTATTACAGTGGTGTCTAAAATCCTTTGTTTTCATGCATTCCAGGTTCGACAGAATAGTCCTTCTCCTACTTCATTAGCTTTTGGGGACCACCCTGTCACACAACCAAAGCAGTTATCTTTTAAAATTACTCAGGTAACTATTTTTGAGAAGAGATATCTTCTATCACTTAAGACTGTAGGAAAAAAAACACAACCCAGTATATTTATTTATTTGTCTTTCAACTTCAAACTCTTGAAGGTTTTCAAAAGCTTTGCTTTTTGCAATCCACCAAAACATTTTTCTGTTAACTTCAGCAACTCATAATTCAAATCTGATTACTTTTGTGTTCTGGACTTGCTCTGCTTCCAAGGTTGCATGTCCTGAGTAGTTAGATGACCATGTCATTGGTAGGCTTCTGCTCAAGATTTTAGCTCTTGTGTAATCTTAGAAGTGGAGGCTGCTTTTTCAGGCACTATTTGAAGTGACAGCTGCTGTTGTCAGATTGCATTTAAAATATGACATTGAAGAAGAAAAATGAGATGGTAATCGAAGTGATAAAAATCTAGCTCTGTCCTGACTAAAACCCAAAAGCAACAGTTTTATCTTGTGTGCCATTTCTGATGTGATCTGTTCTTTCAAAACCTAGAGCAAGGCTACTTCACCTGTTGACCAAATACAGAGAATTGAAAGTAATAAGCTGACATTCATGTTCTTGCCCTGTTCTGTATGCTTTTCTGTGAACAGTAACTTTTCAATTAGTGATGAAATCTTTTAATACTGTGAGTGGTTTGTCCCAACTGTTCATTCTTGTCTTCATGAAGAGGGAACAAATTTTTGAGTAAGAACCTTCCATCTCACATTCCAATCACATGGAAATATGATGTGCTGGTCTTGTTGAATGTTTTAAAACAGCTTATTTCTCCATGTAACAGACATGAGAAAAATAAGCTGTAATTTTTAAAGGAAAGGATAAATACTTCACAATGTTTTGGGGTTTTGTTGGGTTTTTTTTTTTAGACTGATCTCACAATGCTGAAACTAGCTGCACTAGAAAGTAATAAAAATCAAGACTTGGAAAAGAAAGAAGGTCGTATAGATGACTTACTCAGGGTAAGTGTTAGACATGGTGTAAAAATATTCAGATCAACAATGTATTTGAGGCAAATATTTTAAATGTTTGAATAATCCATGTTTTTAAAAATTACCCTGGAGTTATATACTTTAAAAGGCGGAAGGAGGCTTTAATTTTTGTAATTTTTTTTCTGAAAATCCAACAAGACTGTAAAATTAAATGCATAAGGTTTTTTCCTGCTTTTGTGCCGTAGCTTGTTAGATTAAATATGTTTATAGGTTTTCTGAAGGTGCAAAGAAAGCTGATGCTGTTTTACAGGTAGTTAATTAGTTCCTTAAGTTCATAATATAATTTAATGGAACAGGTGTCTTTTTATTCTTCTAATTGTGAATAGCAGTTATCAGTGGGACAACTATTGGCAGAGTCAGAATGGAGCTGATTGACAGAAATTATTACGTGCAATAACTACTTTTACTAAGAAACCTATGCTATACTGTGCTCTAGGACCTGTTTTCAGAAAATAAAATCGTAATGCTTTTTCTCTTGAAGGAAGTGTTGGAGAGGTGATATGTAGAAATATTAAATAAAAATAATATATTCATAGTCTGTTTAGTGTTTATATGCAGACAAGTCTATATTAACCCATGCAATCATACATTATAAAATTGTATGTGTAGACTCTTTTAGCACATGTTCAACAATATAGAATAGACAAACCTAACATTTACAAAAAATAATTTTAAACAAAGTTAATAATGCTGTAGATTCTTCAAGGTAATAAGTTAAAGTATATATGTTTATGCATTCTCCTTAAGTCATGTGAAGTTAGCTTTATTTTCTGTGACAGCTTATATATCTTTTCATGCTTTGTATGTATGGATTAGGCTAACTGTGATCTTAGAAGACAAATAGATGAACAACAAAAGCTACTTGAAAAATATAAAGAAAGGCTAAACAAATGTATTTCAATGAGCAAGAAGCTTCTAATTGAAAAGGTAAGCTTACTGTTTTTAATATTTTTGTGAGAAAAACTGTGAGGTTCCTGTAGAACTCCCATTATGATTCCTTAATTTTTACTTAATTTTGACTTCAACTTTTTCGTACTAGTCTCTGAGACTGAAGCTTCACAGGCGTGGTCTCTATCTGGCAGTGTCTTTGAAAGCCTGAATAGGAAAAATAAATTGTTGAGCCTTTGTCAAATCATGGAAAATGTGCCTTTTTATTTGAAGGGAGGTTTTCCATCATGAGTAATTCAGATATAGCAAAACATAAAAGATAGCAATATTTTTGTGAATGGCAAATTATCTGGAAAAACTGTAAGAATAACATAACAGTGGGTGAAAAAAATTCTGAACGTAATCTGTGGTGGAGATGAGATGGATAAAGTCTCTTTGTGAGACACTTAAGTGGCTGAGATATTTTTTTAATGTAAAATGATTAAATGCTGTGTTAGCTCAAAATTAATGGGAACAAGGAAATGAATGTGACCACTAACCATCATACTACTATGAAAGAAATGTTTTTTTCAAATTGAATGCCAATTATATTTAAACTAGGAGCAGTTTCTTATAAGACATGGGTACCTTGTCTCTCTCTTCTTTAAAACACCCTTCTTTGAAAAAAAAATAAATCTAGCGAGAAGTCAATACAAAACCAAAATAAATTTATTACTAATTAGGGTACAAAAAATTTAAGGTAAGCGGCAAGTCTCTTCCCTAATACTGGTTGCTAGATGCTGCTGTCAGATACAAGGGCACAAATGGATCCATTAGAGGATCAGGGTGACTTTCCTCGTTATTGTGCCATAAATAGATTATTGCAGTTTTTTTAAAGTTTCTTCATGAGGGAAATACAGGGAAAAGATGCATTGGATCTGTTCAGCATGGTGCTAGAGGGGCACCTTCAGACTGAGAATATCACATCGACCAGTTTTCATGAAAGGCCATGCAGGCCTTATCTTCTGTCTAGAAGTCTGCACAAAGATCCTTAATTCTGTCAATTTTTCACTTTTTGTGTGTGTGTGTAATTTTGGGCCATAGACATTCCTTAAGAAACAAGCATTTGTGATAGAGAAGTTTGTGTACATTGTGGGTGTTCACAGTGCTCTTTCTTCTTGTGCTGAGGCAGGCTGGGCTGATTTAGTCATATTTTGCATCCCAAGGATGCTTGTGGTAGTAATGGTTCAGAGAAGGGCATCTGTTTTGATAGGGCAAGTTATCGTCTTTCCTGCCATGCATTCCCACATGGAGATTCCTGAGCTCAGTCAGTTTGGTGCAAGTAGCAACATCGATGCTCTGTCAAGGAAGTTTCCAGGCTAAGTATAGCAGGTGCACTCTTTCTGGCATCCAAGCAGCCTCATTTAGTATAATAAAAATGTATAGACATAATCTTATTTACATGCCTGTATGATGCTGATACTCTCTCAGTTTTGCTTTATTTACAAATAAGATGTTTTGTTAATTATGCAGAACAGCAAACTTACAGGAAAACAGGGTCAAACTCAGATAATTTTTTGTGCACAAATCATCATTAGTACCAATTCTGACATCTGCAGACATTTGAGTTCTGCAGAAATTAGAGTAAGTCGAGTAAAGTAATGAAAGATATTTTTATCTATACTCCTTTTATCCCTCCCTTAGAAAGTTGTTGGAGGAAAAAAATCCAGAGTGTTTTACTGATGTTTTGAACACTTTAGAATTACTAAATATGAGTATTTTTGTGGTTTCTTTAGAGCACACAGGAGAAGCTGGCAAGCAGAGAGAAGAGCATGCAAGACAGATTACGCTTGGGGCATTTTACAACAGTTCGTCATGGTGCTTCATTTACTGAGCAGTGGACAGATGGCTTCGCATTTCAAAATCTTGTGAAGTTAGTCAATGCTATGTTCTTAAAATTCTCACTAATTGTTAGTTCCCTCTAGTGGATTTTTTTTATTACTAAGGTTCTAGAATTGGAGCGACTTTTCATGTTATATTTTGCTTTGCCTCTTGAAGATGGAGAATATAGAACAGAACTCAATCAATGGAGAGAATATGAAGGCTGGGTGTCTTTGAAAAACAGTTTAGTTTTACTGGATTTTAACTATCCTTAAAAAAGCATGAATGTATTAGATGAGCAGCACGTAATTACTCAGCTCAGCTGGTAGAGAGAACTATAAAACTAAATCAGTGATTTTCCAAGCAGCAAACCCTGTATCACTGGTGATCCCTGTGGCAGATGAGGTCTGTGAAGTTCTCATTGGTCACATGGGTGCTGCCTGCACATTCGTCACTGCATCAGCTTTTTCGGTCAACCAGCTCCTCAGTGCCGTGAAGGAGTGACAAATCTGGCAGCCTCAGCTAGGTTCTAGTGCAAGTGGAGAGGGGAAACCAACTACCTGGAAAAGAGCTGCTGCAACAGGTATTTCAGCAGAGATGGAGACAAGGAGAAGGATTCTTCGCAATGCCTCAAAAGATGTTCTTTGGTAAAGAGTTTGATTCAGTCTTTGGAGAGAGATATATATGTGTATAAAAGTAATTCACCAGCATTTTAGTTTTTGAAGGGCAATCTGTAATCTTAGCTTTATGTGATTGCCTGGTTCATTGCTTTTTTAAGATCATCTTAAAAATAATCTGTACATGTGTTTTGCATAAAAACTAATTGTTTGCCATACAACCAAACTGATTATTTATTTGGAAACGGTCAGATCAAGTATTTGGCCTATAAACCTCCGGTACTCTTTTGACTGGCTTACATTTCTTTTGATGGTTTAAAAGAAGATACCCACCAGCTCAAGTTTTCTTTTTTTTTTTCTTTTTCTAGTTCAGAAATAATGTGTAACACTTTCAAAACCAAACTAAACCTCAAAACAAACAAAACCCCAAAACCAAAACACAAATCAAAAGTAAATTGTGCCAAAACTTTTGCAAAATTTTTCCACCTCTTGAAGAACATTTGTGTTCTTTTTTCTCGGAAACATTTTCACATATACAGTGAAGTTTTTTTAAAAATTCTTAATGCTTTATTAGTTAAAAAGATAGTTATTTAAAAATGCAAAATGATGAAACTTTAATAAAGCTTTTTTTGGGGTTTGCAGGCAGCAAGAATGGGTGAATCAACAAAGGGAAGACATTGAAAGGCAAAGAAAGCTCCTGGCCAAGCGAAAGCCTCCAACTACAAATAATTCTCAGGCACCATCTGCCAATTCTGAACCCAAGCAGAGGAAAAATAAAGCTGTGAATGGGGCAGAAAATGATCCCTTTGTTAGACCCAATTTACCACAGCTGTAAGTTTAACATTTCAATCAGTCTTTTACATAAAATCTCTGATATTGTCTGTGTGAGTTCTATTCAAATAACAGCCTAAAAAGATACTCAGTATATTCAGCAGCTATATTCTCACTGAGGACTTGCTGATGTTAGGGAAATTTGCCCCACTGCCTCTGAAGATGTCATACAGTTGCCCAATTTATTTTTGGTAGAGAAAGACCCATTTTGTGTTTCTGCAGTGTTCTCTCTGGTTTCCTGGTCCAGAGGGGTTCTTGTTCTGGTTTCTGACTCTTGTAATATCACTGATACCTACTGAACTTTTCTTGATGTATATTAGTTTAGGAGCCTCCCCTTTAGCTAGAGATCACTTCATTTTTCATACAAGTCTTCAGCTGAAAAGAGAAGCTGTTTTCAGCTGTTAGTATTTGAAGACATGTCTAAAAACACACAAATTTTTTTGTCCCTTCTGAATGATAGATCCTGAGAGCAACTGTAAGAAGCTACTGATCCCATTTCACATATTGATAATGTTGAAATTTTTTGTCATTTAAACATAACAATTGGGAGCTACCAAGGAATTCTGCATTTTTTCAAGTGACATTTTTTCTTGCAGACAGAAATGGTGTAGTTCAAGGTGCAGATGTGTTCTTGACATTTAATTTGAGTATTTTAAGAAGTTTGCTTGGAGATACTAGTTACTGCCCTTGATGCTAAAAGGCTGCAGCCGATAGTGTATCTGTTCCTAGTCAAATAAAAAGTAAATAACTGGGGTTAAAATTAATAATCTGGGTTAATCTGTGTTGCTTTGCAGAAGTAGGCTACATATGTTGAACATGGTCACCTGTCACTTCTCACTTCTGGAGGTACTAGCTTACACCTCTAGGAGTGGGGGGTAAGTAAATTACTCTGGTTAGATTTGCAAAGTATGTATTTTTGGACCATCAGTTTGAAGACAGCTGCATAGGTTTTGCATAATACATAATTCTTAAACTTTATATTGTGAAATTGTTTAGCAACTAACAAAAATACTGTGAAAATACAGAAGGCTGGTGATGTAAGCAAAACTTGATTAGTGTTGCACATGTATTTTGGTAGAGAGCTGAAGACTTGTCTGATGGAACTTACAATTTGCCACTTTTTGGCCATGTATTAATTAGTTTTCATAATCTTATTGCTGCTTTAGAAGGTGATAAAATATACATTTAGGAAAAAATACAGAAGACTTGTTCTAATTATTAAGTAGGTCAAGATGAATTCTTGATAAAAGACTTCTGAATATTTTTTGAGGTTAATGGAGTTTTAAATAATTTCCAAATTACAAAAAAACTTGAAATTTTCATTTCATTTGGCTTAAACAGTTACATGTTAAATGGCAGATGAAAATGCTTACTGGTTGTGGAATTGCCAAGAGAACGATTAGAATTGTCCTTTTGTATCTAATGCTAGCATAAATGTAGGCTGTAATTGAATCAAAGGTGATTTTGCCTTTAAGTATCTTGATTTTATCATTATATAATCTAGATAATAATATTGTTTGCCTATATGATAAGCATATACATTTTTTTCAGACCTTTGAAAAGGTTTGTAATGTGTCCTGGGATCAGAGTCATTAAACTACATCATGCTCTTAGGCCTTTACTTGAAAGGGTTTTTTGAATGTTTGCATGTAGGATTCATTGTAATTTTGTATAGTAGTATTCCGTGTTGACTCCCCTCTGCATCTCTGTAAAGAATTAAATACATTTTGTTTATCTTGATAAAACAATTATTAACTGTGCACTTAATTTTAGAGTAAATTTGTCATCTGCAGTACATAATTCGCTTCTATTACATTGAGCCTATCACTGTTCCTGTGTCACTTCAGAAGTATTTATCTTAATTAGTATAACCAAATGGAAGAAGAGGTTCTGTTTATATGAGGCATAGGGAAATGCAGAGCTGCTTAAGATTAATGAACTAAACCAGTAGTAAATCAGTACAACACATAAGCAAGTGATTAGTAAGCTCTTTTTTAAAAAAGCAATGTAACAAACAACTTACTACCAGTTGTTAGCCAACAATTGTCTCTAGCATTGCATTGTTTGCTTTAGAAAATGTCTCCAGCTGCATGTATCAATAAGACAAAACCATCTATAGCTTTGTAGCAATCAATACCTGAAAATAGGTGTTAACTTTTGAAATGGATTTAAGGTGTTGTCCGAGGCATTCTTAATAAGAGCATTCTCTGATGCAAAATTTTTGTACTGAAGTTACTAGTATAAAAGTGGCCACCTGCCAGCCCTGTGAGTGAATGGTGGGTTTGGTGTTTAAATAACATACAACAGATGAGTCTAACCCCTGTCCTGGTTTTCCATCATTCTTTCCCTTTTTGTGGCCCAAACCAAAAGTAAAAAGTAGTTTCAGTGTTGAGACCTGTTTTCTGCTGAGCATAGTAATGTTATTAGACTTACAAGAAAATAAAAAATTGGAATTTATTTAAAGAAAAAAACCCAACATTTATTTGAAGTAGAGGTTGCTTTCTTAGCTCTGGGAAAATCTGTTTGAAAACTCTATTTCACATTCTTTGGACACTTGAAGATTATAATGCTAGTCCCTACCTCTTGGAAGCAGCTCCTATTTCACCAGAAAATTATTTCTGGGAGCAGCGTTTTATTTAGTGTAGGTGTCATGCTCCTTCCTCTGCAGCTTCAGCTGAGTCAGTTACATTTACTTCCAGTCATGTCATCTTCTGCTTCCCTCTGCCTCCATGGGAATCTGCATGCACCCTTGTCTCTGCATGCAGTTTGGAATAGAAGAGCAGAGGGAGCTGGCAGAGTTTGTTACTGTAGTTGAACAAATGCATAATTTGAAGGGAAGATTCTGTTCTGTATGGAACAAATAAAAATATTTTCAGGAATTTTTTCAGGCTGAAGTCCCAACAATGTGCTTGGGCTTTACAGAGCAAGTAAAGACAGTTCTTTCCTGAGGCAGTCTCTTTCTAAGGCAGACATGGAAACAATGGGCAAAAAGGCATCATGGAAGGCTTTGACTTGGTCAGCATCTGCCTGTCCATGTAGCAGTTTAAGGAACTAGAGAGAGAACAAGGTTGGACCAAAAAAGGAGTGCTTTAGAAATTATATCCAAAAATTTGTATTGGGTGTGTGTATGGCTGCTTGAATCATGGCCACATGCTGATGTGCCTGTGTTTCCAGGATGATTTTTCAGCTGGGAAAAAGTGGGAAAAGAGATGATTGTAAATGTGCCAGACTTCATTGTCATGAAAACTGAGGAGATGTGTGATGATTTTGTTTTCTTCTCATGTCTGTATCTACTAGTAAGAGTGTTTTGATCATAGAAGAAGGGTTTGTCTGGACTTGTGAGGAAGAAGTGCAGAGGTTGGCTATGTCTACTCATGCATACTGTGTCAAAGCCTTTGAAGTTCAGCTATGAAAGCATTGTTAAACAACTTGAAGGCCTATTTATGCTAATTTAAAAAAAAGTTTATGTTGGTGATATCCAAGCCTTTCAGGACAGGTAAGCTGTCCACTTCCTTCCTGCAACAAGTAAATGTGACACTCTAGGTCACAGGAAAATTATACTACATGCATTGAATATGTCCAGGGCTTTTTTTGGGATGTCAGGAATTCATTGTATATGTATAATAGTTCATTTGGCTGTAGACTTAAAATACAGCATTTGTTGCACAGTACTTCTGAGTGGAAAAGATCACTGTCAGGACCAGACCACTACTGATTAATTCATGCATCCTACTCCCTGCTGTTTTTCTTCCCCAGCACTCCTCAGGTTAGCCTTCAGCCTGACTACCCAATTTAGTGGATGGCAGCAGCCTCTTTCTTGCTGACATCCCTCCCTTGTGTTCCTCAGTCTTTCTTTCTCTGCATCTGATGAGACCTGTGTGTCTTGGGTGAGGGAATAACAACCCCTGTGTAGGAAATAATGTCTTCTAGGTTAATTCTGTTTTCAGAAGGTGCCTCCAGTGTGCCACTGCCCTGCAAAAGGTGGATGCAGGTCAGAAGAGATGGGCTGATGGGAAACAGTCTCTAGGCTGGATGTTTTCAGCCTGTGTAGCAGAGTGGTGGCCTATAGCCAGAAAACAGCATGCACACTGTCATTGTTTCACTGCTATTTTTTGTGTGCTATTTTAATATGTATGAAGTACAGTACTTTTTATAGATAAAAAGTAATAAACTCCTACTTTTAAAAAGAAAAAAAAATGTTTCTGAATATGAGGGAATAGAATTTTGTTTTTCATAAGTAAACAAACAGAATCCAAAGTGCCTCCGTCTGTGTACAGTTCAGCATTTTATGTGCCTTCCTCCAAAATGTGGTGGTCAGTAACAACAGTTTCAAATTGCTGTGAATCATGCTGTGCCTGTAATAGAGTTAGATTTGTAAGGAAATACAAAAATGGAAAACAGTCGTTTACTGGGATGTAGCATGGAAACATGTTAAAGAGTGATTTCTGAATCTTAATGTTTTCAATATGACCTCTTAACTTGTACTCTGTGCTCGAGAGGGCTATTTAAGAAATTTTTGGAAGGCAATACTTGAAAGAGCTGTCTAGGCACTTGGTCATAACTCTGTGTAGATAACTGAGGTTTTATAAAAAGGACCAGATTTCCATACATGATGTTAATTTTTCAGGGAATCAATGGTTTTAGGGCTCTCAATGCTCACTAAAAATTCTGGAAGGTTATGTTATAAACTTAGTATTTTAAGTGTGTTTTTCTTTTGGTTCAGCTGTACTAACCCACCTAAATACTCCCTGAAAAAGACAAACTTCACTATCTGTGTTTCTGGAAAAGCACAAAGATAGAATTTATATTGCAGACAAGGATCTCAAAAGAATAATATTCAACTAGGTACACTTTGGCATTGATCCTTTGCCTTTTTTTGTTGAGAACTTAAATGTTAAGAGTAGTTAGCTGTTTGAGTAGAAGTATTGAAAAAACATCAGGGATGTTGCTGTGAGTTGTCTAGTGTGGCCTTGCTGCTCTCTTTAATAGGTCTAGCAGATGTATTAGAGCAGAAATTAGAGCATTGTTTTCTTAGGTTTCTTGCTGTTATTTGGACTGTACAGAGAACTCATTGACAGCCTTCCTAGCTATTGATACACTCCATTTCACGTTTGCTTTAATGCCTCTTCTTTAAGATGTAGTGTAAATTGTCTAAACCCAGAGGAGATTCTGTGAGCAGAGGAATATAAAACCTTCAGTCCCAAAATCTGGTACAAACCACCTCTGGTACTAAAGCATCTTTTGCCTTTATTGAAGAGGCAAATTTCCACTCTGTTGCCTTCAGAGTGTTTAGGGATTTCTGTTGACTGCAATACAAGGCTGCTTTTTATTCCAGTCAGAAAGAAAGATGAAGGTAACTTTGTATGATGCTTTTTAAAAGAGAGTTGCATCCTTTGCAAATTCTGACAGGACGTGGTCATGGATTGTTTTGTCACCTGATCTGAGTGTTTTCTATATGTTACAGACCAGAAGGTTGATGAAATTACTAAAGTCTTGTGGAGCTGTTTCAGATTCTTGAAAATTTCGGAGCTGTAGTAAAAAAAGAATATAGCAATTTCAGTAATATTTATGAAGAATATCTGGTCAACTCCCATCTTCCTTCCCAGCCAAGTCAGAAAAGGGGCAGCAAAATTCAGTATTAATGAAATCAGGAATAGGAAAATGTTCTGTGAAAGCTTCAGAACAACCAGGCTTTACCCTGAAAAGATGCACTCCTTTATTAACAGCTTTTGAGACCAAATATATACAGAGTTTAGAATTCTGAAAACTATGGTGAACTTCATCCAAACTTAAAAGGGAGGAAGAAATCCTAGAGTTTAGGAAGAGAGTTTATTACATCTCTGAAAATTTTATCAAAGTTGGCATTTGCTATAGGAAAAATCTGAGTTGGTGTTGCTCATGTCTGAGGAAACTACTGGTGATTCTCAAGACATTCTAGTTCCTTAGACTTGCAATATGAACAGCATGTATAGCCTTCTAAACACTTTGTATAACTTATCTTCCCAGGACAATTGATAATTGAACTTGTTAAAATAGGAACTTTGTGAAAACATAATATGTTACTTGTTTTAGCTTTGCATTATGCAAGAAATAGTAGATTTAAGCAAAACGATAGAATGTTTAATTTTAATTTTTTCATAGGGATTTGTGTGAATCCTTTCAAGGAGGCCATACCTCTTTTTCCTTCCCCCACCCCCTGTTCTCCTGCATCATATACATATGGTTTCTTCCCTGGAACTCAAAGTCTCTTTTGTTTCTTTCCTTTGGTGGATTGCCTTTTTTTTCTTATTTGTCAGATGGGTACTGCATGCAGTCAGTTTGTGAGTTTCTTAGTTACTAATCCATATGAACAGTCTAGATCCTCTAAATGATAACTGACTTTGTGTCCTAGCAAGTCTACAGACAGTGAGGGACCACTGAATGAATTGTAGCCAGGAATCTTTTCTCAAAGGAAGATGAAAGAACAAGCAAAAGGGTTGCATGCCTATTCAAAACTGAACTTGTGACCTCATGCAAAATGTAGTGTTAATGAACTTGGAATGTATGGTTTTGCACTGTGTTCTTTAAATCACAGCTCAAAAATCCAGTATTATCAGTCTTGTCTAGTTGGTTTCTGGACTTCCATCCTTTGGTTCACTAAGTGTTAGTGTTGAGAATCAAGCATTGGAGGAGTATCAGCAAAAATACTGGGGTGATATGATTCAGGATGTACCCAGATAACCTAACAGGCTGAGAGAACAGAAATAGACCAGTGGGAGAGGAAGTTAAATCTGCTGAAACACAGAGGTGTTCTCTAAGTGTGTTTGGCCCTGAAATTTCAAACCAAGATGTTTGGATGGTTCAAAAATGTAGTCCTAAAGTTGTGGTAGTAAATAATTACCAGAAGATACTGTATTTACTGTAGTATTTAGGTAAGAATGCTATTGTTTTGTTTACCATCATATAAAAACGATAATTACATGTTTGATTTGGGTTTTTTCAGTTTGACGCTAGCAGAGTATCACGAACAGGAAGAAATTTTCAAACTTCGATTAGGACATCTCAAAAAGGTATGTATATGGTCTGTTATTCTAGGAAGTACCCAAACCCATAATAACTAGTACTATCAAGATAAGGAGAGGGCTTATTGAGAGCTATCTGATTAGAAAACATAATACTAAAAATATTCTACAGTTTTCTGCCTAATAGTGTTGGGGTTTTTTTGCCTTTTTTTTTTTTTTTTTTTAATGCAACTAACCATAAACACTGGGACTATAGAGGAGTAGTAGAGTGTCCTTGCAGTGTAACACTCTACTGGTTCCTTGAATCCTTCTAACAGTGATGATGCCACCAGTACTGCTCTTGTTTCAGAGCGGAGGAAGCAGAATCAGCCAGGTTTGATATGTGGTCTTTTTATGTTAGTTTTTTACCTTTAAAAAGATTCAATCTACAAAGTACTACACTTCTGAATTAATATCATGCTTTGATCATGTACAGTGTCCATGTCAGTTGTTGTCAGTTAGCATGCTACCTATCACGAGAGATTATAATTTTCCTACTTTATGGAAAATCTTTTCTCTGTATTTTAAAGTATTCTTGCAGTCAGATATTTTACTCCAGTTTTTGACTTTTGAAAAAAACAGCAGTACTTTCTTCTTGAAGCCCATCATTCTAATAAATCTGTGTAGTGAGATAATTATGATATTAACAAACTGTTGCTTATTCAAGCAAAGCTTTTGAGGAATAACCTGTGGAAAAGAATGACAGTTGAAGCAGGCAGAAGTATCTCAAGAAGTGTGAGAGGTGGTAACTTTATCTGCTGAGCAGTAGTCCTTGTGATGTTCAGTCAAAACAGGTCATAGTGGTTTTCTCCTTGAAATGTTGCAGGAACCTATTTCAGGCCTGTTCTCTTCAAATATACAAGTCACTTGTTATAACTCCTACTATAATATAAACTGAACTGGGCCTCTTGAAAACACCAATGCTGTTTTTAAAGAATATGACAAAGTATTTGCATCAGCAGTAGGGAATCAGCATATAAACTTGTTGGCAATAGTGAAGTAGTCTGCCCACTTAGTTATTAAAGTCAGTGCTTTAGAAACAGGAACAGCTTCACATGAAATTCCATTATGAAATTGTGTAGGTTTTTTCTGTTCTTTAAAGTTTTTGAAGTAATTTAATGGAAATTTCAAGTGATACATGAAGGAAGCTGTTGCAGGGTTGTTCACTTTGAGCATCAATGCTGGGGTACTCTGTATAAAAGGGAACTTCCTTGACTAAATGCCAAAGTGGGAACAAATATTATTTCTTACTAAATTATGTTTATATATATATCTGAAAATAATGAACATGCAAGTAGGTATTTTATTATTATTATGTGTGATACAGATTTTGTTGTTAACTAAGAATAAGAATTTTGTTAGCTTCTTTTATGTGACTGTATTTCTTCCCTAGTGCTTCATGCAGGTTACATTTTTTCTTCTTCTGCATATGCTCTTTTTCTGTCTGCTTCTCTTCCTTTTCATTCTCCAGATGCTTTCCTGGTGCTCTTATTTTTGATGCCCTGTACATGCTGCCACTACGTTTTCTTTTCCTTCTGCTCCCCAGGAAATTCTTTTCCAGCTAGCAGCTTTGGTCCTGGAGAGAGGCTCTTGTTTTCTCACTTCCTTTTATATAGCAGTGACCTGAGGCAGCTAAGCTGGTTCATTCTTGCTTAAAGGTATTCACAGCCTGAGTGTCCTAAATAACAGCTGGAAACAATGCAACTAGCCAGTTCTCTTTGGACTAACATTGGCCTATGAACCACATTTTCAGAACCACTGAATTGCATAATATATGAACAAAAAAGCCCAAAAGAGGCATAACTGATGGATTTATTTATTTTTTTTGTCAGCCTTTGGGAAGAACATAGACAATTGTGTGTGTATGAGTGTGTGGCCTTTTGCAGGGGTAGAAAGACTAGAATTCTTTATAAAGGGCTATTGGGTTATGAGGAACTGTGGATCATTTCAGGGTATTTAACAGAGAACTGCCAGGATGAAACTAAATATTAGGAGGGGAAAAAGACTTTAACATTGCATTAATGGAGGTGTGGGGGGGAAACAACAACCCTTGGCATTATATGTTAGGAAAAACAAATGGTACACCCAGATCTGCTAGCAGATTAGCGTTACTTAGTCCAGCTTTTAAATTATTAGGATTTTTTTTTTTCTGAATTGAGGTTCATTTAGTGTCTTGTTTTGAGATAAGAGTGCTTTCCTTAGCTTATGGAGAGGGATTCAGGGTATCCACTGAAATAATCTAATGTGGACTCCTCAACTTGTTGGAAATGTGGTAATTTATTGTGTGTTTTCAGTTATATAAATACTATTGTTGTTTCAGGATGTGGTTTTATGATATACAATGTTTGTAAATACCAACTTTACAGCATTTTGTCTCACTTCTGCTGACTTCTGCTTCCATCCCCTTGTGCCACGACTTGTGCGTTTGCATTTACCAGCACCACCAAGTTGTTCGCTAATTTTGTTTCTTTTGAAAACCAAATACCTATCTTCTGAGGCTTTTTCTTTTCTGTTTTTTTGTTGGGTTTTTTTTAAGATTGATTAGGTTTAGTTTTCCAGTTTCATTCACCATGTGGCTGTACAAGAGGCTGTGCCAAAATAACAAGAGGTGATGTGGGACACTACTTCAACTGGCACTGCTACTAAAAAATATGTATCAGATGCCAGGCCTTCTTTTTTAGCTAGTAAAATTCCATAATTATGAACTTTCTGGTATGGACTATTTTGTTTCCCTTTTATTCAAGCTTTGAGGTGTAAAGGTGCTAAGTCTGAATTCAATATAACCCTTCCTACAGTGTCTGTTAATTAATTGGTTTTTCAGTTTGAGCATAGATACATAGATTTCCACAAATTATGCAACATAATTCTTTACTTTTTTAAAGAATCTGAATAAACAACTGTTTTGGTGTTCTCTAATATGTAGCATAAAGAGGAGATAATTGTAAGTGAAATTAGTTAGAGTGTGCTCATACATACCTGACATGCTTCTTTTGAAATTGCACTCAAAATCTTAGGCAGTGCACTTTTTGCATTTGTAATTTTAATAACATATAAAGGGATTTATTTTTTCTTAATTAGCTTGATTTTGGTGTCTTATTTCAACACCTTAGGAACACTTCTGCTGTAATGACTTACTCTTTTATTCTTTTATTTTTTGGTTTGCACTTAAGGCTGAAAACATTTTAAACTTCTTAATTTGTCAGTTTGTACAAAATCTGTAACTGCACGTATCTCCTTTTTTTTCTTCTTTGTACATCAATTTCAAACCGCTTCCCAGATAATTTTTCTCCTTGGCTGTGATACAAAACGCAGCTGCCTCTCATTTCAAATAGCATCCCTACAGTGCAGAACAAAACTGTGAACGTCCCATTACCTGTTGGTTCATGGACAGAAAGGTTCCTTGAAACAGGCTTTTGCCTTATCTTTCTGAATTTTTTTGGCTTTAAGAGAAAAGCAGTGCTTTATTCTGGTTCAGCAAGGTTTTGTAATGTAATGTTCCTCCATCACCACTAGCACTGATGCAGGGGTAAAAATATCCTTTTCAAATAGGGAGTAAATGAGCTTTTATATCTCATTCTTTTCATTTGCAGGAGGAAGCTGAAATACAAGCAGAACTTGAACGTTTGGAAAGAGTAAGAAATCTTCACATAAGAGAACTGAAAAGAATAAATAATGAAGATAATTCACAGTAAGAGACTGACTGTCTTAATTTTGCATGTCTATTTATAAAATAATGCTCTAAAATCAAATTTAACGTACAGGAGAGAGGTTTGTCCATAAAATTTTCTTTGGTTCTCTTTGTTTCTGCATATATTTTAAAAGCCACGTTAGTTAAACTTTTTTTAAAATAGAATTACTTATAATTTAGTAGACTTAAAATGCTTTTATTGAATATGCAAGAAGTAACATACATACACAGCTTATAGTGCAGGAGAGCTAAAAGCTTCTACACCATATTACTAGGCTAAAAAAATTACTTGTGAGAGAACCTAATGCAATTCACTTTGCTGACAACAGTGCAAGGAAATGGCAGGGAGGTTTGATGCAACAGCAGTGATTTTCTGTCAAGTAACAGTTGTTAACTGCACTGTACAAATAAATGCAATGTCTTTTGCATTAGTTTAAATGTTACTCTGTACGTCTTTGGTGACAATATATCATAATATTAAATGGTTATTTATTATTGGCTGTTACTATGTAGATTTGAAAGTAATAATTACATACCTAAAATAAATTAGTCTCTTTTCCATTATAGCAAATACAGGCACTAACCCTACAGTTTCACCTGCACTTTAATCTGGTACTTGTGCTTAAAGGAAGTGATTCTGCCTGTCCCTGACTACTTCATTATGCCCATGTCATGTTTATTTTCATGTGCTTACGATGGTATTTCTTTACTGAACAGATGCTGGAAATTGATCCAAGTTAAAACCAGCTCCTATGGTTTCTTTTTCTGGATTAATTTTAACCCCAGACCAATTTCCTTGTGTAGTTCTTTTCCCCTTTTGCAGAAAGGCTTATGCTGCCATGAGGAGAGAGGGCAGTGCAAGGGTGGAATGGGTGACCAGGGGCAAGGAGATGATCCTCATGACTTCAGGATTTATTTTAGTTTTTACTTTTTAGGCACAATAGAATCACACATGCACTAAGACTTCTAAACCTTAAAGCAACAGGATGTGAACTTGTATTTAACTGTTTCAATGGTCCCCATACCCACCCTGCAGGAAAGCAGAAAATTATTGTTACCTTGTGGCTGTAGTGTGAACTGATAGTTGAACTGATGTTATGTTTTGGGTATGAAAAATAATGGCTGTTGATGCTTACAATTTGATGGTAGAATATTTTCTTGTAAAAACAAATGTTCTTGGCAGGTTAAATTAGGAAGTTTTTTAATCTTTGGTGTTTGTATTAGAGTATTTTCTTAAAAACAAACAAAAATACACAGGGGATCCTTCAACAAGAAGGAGTAAATGCTGTAGAAGAATGACAAGCTTTGACTTTGTAAATGTTACGTATGTGGGGTAAAAAATGTCAAAATTAGAATTCCATCAGAAAAAAAGAGTTACAGAACACAGACAAGCAGAATACTGCAGCTTCAGCTTCACTGCCCTTTTTCTGTATTCAATGTTGACACATTTTATGGTACAGAATGAAAAGCTATAAACTGCATTCATGTTTCTGTGGGAGTTTAAACTTGTGCATTTACCAAGTGGCCAAGCTGCAGCTTACACACATAATACAGGAAACAGAAGCAATGGAGAAGTCATATAGGTCTGTATCCCCTGCTAACTTTCTTGAGACACCTTGGCAACTTGGCCATTTGGTAAGGCCAACGGTTCTGAAGTGAAGCAACTGTTGGGTCCTGACTCAAATCATGTTGGATTTTCAGCTTCTAGCTGTGGTGCAAAGCTGAGCCCTCCCCTTAGTTCTAGCAGCATTTCCATGTATGTCTCTGAACCCATGTATGCCCTCCCCAAGCATCCCAAATATAAAGTAGGCTATGAACTCACCTGGTTGGGTTCAGCCTTGATTCTGTGATTCTATGACAGTAATGATGCAATAGCATTTGTACAATAAATAGTCAAAAGGTACTGAAATTGGCCATTTTGTATAGTTGTGCCATAGAGTTACACATAGTGTAATATTATTCAGCGTAATAGATATTGCTAGTAAAAATACAGCTCCATTTGAGAAGTAATACTAAGAGGTTTATATTTTAGATGTTATTTGTATACCTTAAATAGAATTATTTTTTTTTCTTCTTTTGAGATTTAAAGATCACCCCACATTGAATGAACGGTATTTGCTACTCCATTTACTTGGCCGAGGTGGCTTCAGTGAAGTGTACAAGGTAGAGTGTGTTGGGCCTGCTAAATCTAATGTTTGAGCCATGTACATTTCTGCATTTAAATTTTCAGGGGGAGGAAGGGGATCTAAATAAGCAGAAGAATTGTAACAGGGTATATTCTTTAAACAGTGGTTGAGTGAACTTCAATTAACCCATGGAGGGGAGGTAACATGTCAATAGGCTTGTGAATTACTTGCCAATTTTTTTCCTCTCTTTATTGGGTATTACTTTTATGATATTTGATTATAACTTTCCCGTATTTGTGGGTTTCATTTTTAGGCCTTTGATCTTTATGAACAAAGATACGCTGCTGTGAAGATTCACCAGCTGAACAAAAGCTGGAGGGATGAAAAGAAAGAAAACTACCACAAGTAAGTAATTACTTACGCTTCATATGTTAAATTGAATAGTGTTTTATTGATTGTAGAAGATTAATGTATCCATCTTTCTTTAGACATGCCTGCAGAGAGTATAGAATACATAAAGAACTGGATCACCCCCGGATAGTTAAACTATATGACTACTTCTCCCTGGATACAGATACGTAAGTACATAAAATTATACATTTTCTGGAACTTGGCAAGGACTTCAGTGTTGTATATTAGATAACAGAAATGAAGAGTATTTGAACAAAAATAGTATGTTCTTGCTTTCAGCCAAAGCGTTTAGGGTATTTTTTAAAAAGGGCTTAAAAATAAAACACTTGTGTAATTTTGTCTCTGCTAAATATTGCAGACCGTCTATGAAGTGCTGAAAACAGTGTTTTGCAATACCTGACTAGCAAGCCCTACAGGATGCCCTGAGAGTGAAAGGGGCATGCAGTGCTATAATATTTTTGGGCAACTCTGTAAGGCTGCTGTAGCTTAGGCAAGTTTCCAGGATTGAATGACATCAGGAGCATTACTAGCCTAAGCGTAGCCCATGGTCACTGGGCTGCACCGCTTTGCATGAAATCATGTCACATCTTAAGGGACAGTGACTGCTTTTTTATTGAGAAACATGCCTACATAAATAAGGGGGTTTCTGACTTAACCTCTTATCAGTATGGGTGCATTTTCTTTCTGGTGAATATAAATGTTCTGATTGATGTCAAGTTTCATAAGCTAATAGTTATGCCATGTGTTCTATAAACAATTTGATTCATGTAGTTTAATATTCAGACAGCTATTATTAAATGTGCAGGTATTAAACCAGGTTATCATATCTCTGTTTCTGATTGTGCAGTTGATATTTAATTTTGTCTCTCTAAATTCTACCCTAGGTTTTGCACGGTGTTAGAATACTGTGAAGGCAATGACTTGGATTTCTATCTCAAGCAACATAAATTGATGTCAGAGAAGGAAGCTAGGTCCATTGTCATGCAAATAGTAAATGCACTACGGTATCTCAATGAGATCAAGCCCCCTATTATACACTATGATCTTAAACCAGGTAAATGAGGAATGGTACAAATGAAAATGTTAATTTTTTAATATATATCCTTTATTTTGTTTGTGATTCATGCCTGAAAATACAAAAACTACCTTCTGTATGTGAAGCTTATTGTAAACAACTGAAAAAAGTGTTTATTTTTTGTTCCAGTTTTTCTGCAAAAATCATCTGTCTTTTCTTTGGAAGAATGCTTGACATTACTTTTATACCTTATTACTTTGATTTGAATTTATAGAATAAAACCATACAGCACATAGATAAATACATTGGTATTAGCAATATAGACACATAAGATCATCAGTATCCTGTCTGAGTATTGTGGAATGGTGGTGTGTAAATAATATTTCTCTTAACTTATTTCTTAGCCTGTAAAGGATTGAAATAGGTAATTGATCGCTTTCAGCATCCCACCATAAGTGCTTCAAAACAGAATTTAACAGTTTTCTTTACAATTAATAAAGAGCATAGTCATAAACAATGTATCCTGTCTTGAATCCGTGGCCTTTATTTTAGCACCCTGAATGAATGATGCTTTCCTTCTTCATGTACTTTAGTCTGCCACACTTCCAAGCATGGGGTTTGTAAAGTAACTGTTGTGCCAGCCTCTTTGCTTGCTCCTGTGTTATAAATTGTTCCTATAGATTTATCTCATATTATGGAATTGTACAGAATGTATTCTTAGTCTCATTAGGTTTTGTTCTTAGAGGAACATCATCAAATAACTTTCATATCAATACATTTTTGTACAACTTCAACACACAGATTAAGATTCATAGCACTACAGCAATTTCTTGCCACAATTTTGTGGCATATGTAAGCCATGAAACCCGTTGTGTAGGATTTGTTCTGGGCAGAAAAATCTGAAACTTCATTGTAGCCGCTATCCTGCTATGTTTTGGTGTTTCCTCTCGCGAGCTCCCAGCTGAGGGACCCATTTTGGGTGATGATAACCTAGAGGGATCCTGAGACTGAACTGAAATGTATCATAGTCAAGTTACTCCAGATTTGAGGATATAAAGATGATCTAACATTGTCACCACTCAAGAAGTTAGATGTTCCTGAAAATTTAACCTGGTTTTGAAAACAAAGCATTCTGTTAGCTGTTTTGAGGTATTTTTCTAATATATTTTTTTCTCCTGGATAGGTAATATCCTTCTTGTAGATGGAACAGCATGTGGAGAAATAAAAATTACTGATTTTGGTCTGTCCAAAATAATGGATGATGATAGCTATGGTGTGGATGGAATGGATTTAACTTCACAGGGAGCAGGAACTTACTGGTAATGCCAGGCTTGATTTTGCTGTTTAGACTGTGGGTTATTGTTCATAAAGTTAACTCTGAGAAAGCGCAAGGATTAAAAATATTAACATGGAGGGAAAATAAAGATTTTTCTGCAGTACTGTGAATGTTGATATTCCCAAATGTTAGAATGGTAACATAACAAGTAAGAGAGTGTAAGTGGTTTATTATATATAAAAATAAGTGTGGAGATGATCACTGTGATTTATAAACATGGTTTCCCTGAAGAAGCAGGTGTTTAATCTTTGGCTGCAGGTGGTTGAAGACGTTTAACAGAGTTATGATGATTAAGTGAGAGTTCTTAGTCCTTGGAAATCTTAGAGCAGGGATTACCAGCAGGTAATGTCCTTAGGACAAAAGAATATTTACTCTTGCATCCTAAAGGTCAATGACAGCTCAGCAGCTGTGATTTGTTTTCCATATGCACTTGCATACTTGTCCAAAAACCTGAAGTTTTATAGCTTCCTACAGAACAGAATAACAATAAGCATTTCATAGCTCACAGAAAAGCTGTTTCTAAAATTTGCTCTCTAAAGATGCAGGTTCTTCATGACACAGTAGCTCTATGAGCCTGGGTGCATGGTAGCTGTGTCAGGGTGGATGAAATACAGAACCTGTATTGGCCAGGTTAACTTGTGAATTCATTTGCTCTTTATCTTCTCATTCTGCCTGTAGTAAGATCAGAATCAGGAGCTGAGACCTAACTCTAAACAGATAAGCCAGTGTCATTCCCATTTGTTCTCCAGTTTCTCCCATATTCCAAAGTTGCACTTAATAAAGTTAACATTTTGTTCAGGAATTTTGGAAAAGAAAACAAAGATACTCTTTCACAAATGCCAGTGCACGCATGCTGTGAAAAGACAGTTATTCAAGTGAACATTTTAGAAATGTTAGGCTTTTGCTACTCTTTTGAATGCTTTGCCAATTTAAATACCAATTTACATAATTTATTGTATGGAAAAAAGTGTTGGCCTTTGCATTTCGTCTAAAGTGCCACAGGAACTAGTGGTGCTGTAAACTAAGAGATCAAAAAGGTCTGTGACAATTATAGATTTATGATGAAACTGTGTTTCTAACTCACACTTTCTCTGAGCCCAAAATCTTCAATCAGGAGGAAAATATTTTGAGTGAGTTTGAGGTGGGGAATGTCTGTTCAGAGCAGACGGCACAAATTGTCAGCAACATAGTGCTGGAAGGGATTTCCTGTCACTGGGTCCAGTTACCTGCCTTTCCAGGCAGTTAGGTCACGTAATCTCTTTTGTAAACTTACAGACACTTGTATTAAATTTACTTAGTGTTTTGTCCCCTGTAATCTGATTTGAAGTGTGTTCCGTAACCTGACTTCTCTGATCATTAGAAACCTAATCTTCTAATTTACAGACTGTTTATTTGTGGCCAGTTTATACTTGTTTGTTCCTGTGCCAACACTGTCCTCCCTGAAGTGGTACTTCCTGGTATACTTGCTCCTGAGTGTTTTTATAGCCTTTGGGTTTTTTCCCTGAATTATAGGCTCCCTGTTCTTCAGATCATCTTAGTAGCTTTCTTTGCATTTGCATCACTTTAAGCTGTTTTTTTTCTTGACTGTTGTAATCAGAATTGTATACAAGTATTCCAGAAGAGATGTTGATAATGTGTGAAATTCATATTTGCATTGCATTCTTATCTCATTTTTCTGCTTATTTCTGTTGCCACAAATATTTCTTAGCAATTTCTTTTAAAGCCTTTTATACTGTTGATGAAAAAATGTTTGGTCTGTTCGTTCTCTAATGGTTCTAATGCCTTTTTCAACATTATATATTGTAGTCAGTAATATCTAACTGCCTACATATTGATATGTTCAGGAGTTTTTTTGGTTTTTTTGTTTTTTTTAAGGAGGTTCCATTTCACTTGGTTTGCAGTTCAGGAATGTCACAGGAACTTCCTCAACTTTCAGCTCTTTAAGTATGGCTTTCTACAGATTACAAGAATGGAAATAGTAATCACCTTTGTCTACCATATGCCCCTCTGGTTAATGTCATCATTTTTACTAAAAACTTAGGGTCCTTAAGCCTTATCTTCATTATCTTTGATTCCTAGCCAAGCCTTGCTGTAACGTGCACTGTGTGGCTTTCATCTCTTCTTGTTGTAATAGAAAGACAAGGTTCATATTTTACCTAGGATCTCAAACCCAAAACAACACAAAAACAAACAAACAAAGAAATACACACACACACAAAAAGGGAATTAGTGATTTTAGGTAAAGAATAATAGTATTCATGCTTCTGTAAAATAGACCCTCTGACTAGACAAAAATCTGTAATGTCAGTTTTGATGGGTGTGCAAGAAGCTGGAGTACAGTTGTCAAAAGGTCAGAGATGAGTATGTGAACTGTTTGTATAATTTGAATTTGAATAAGTGATGTCATGCATCTACTTGCAGACACTGAGATGTGTGTTGTTTTTTTCCAGGTACTTGCCTCCAGAGTGTTTTGTAGTTGGCAAAGAGCCACCAAAGATTTCTAATAAGGTTGATGTATGGTCAGTTGGAGTAATCTTTTTTCAATGCCTTTATGGTAGAAAGGTAAGGAAAATGTTCTAAAATCTTGAGAGTTTTAGTGCAAATGCCTGCTTTCGTAGATTGAATTACAGTCATAAAGATGGGCATCTACATGGGAAATTCCTTGTGTTACTTTTTTGGTGGTGTGCATTGACATTGCAAGAAATGTAGACAATACTGACCGAAACTTCTTTGTTTACGGAATGGTTACTAGTTTGTATCAACATGGCAACAACTTACTGTAAATATTTATGAAATCAAAGTAGTTGGATAACTCTCATTAAGAAAATAATGTGCTTATTTTTCAGCCATTTGGCCACAATCAATCACAGCAAGATATCTTACAAGAAAACACAATATTAAAAGCCACAGAAGTTCAGTTCCCTGTCAAACCTGTTGTAAGCAATGAAGCCAAGGTAACTTTACATATGATCTCTGAGTAACAGTTAAAACATTCATCATAAAGGATTCAGCTATAAAATTTCTGTTAACTTAAGAATGCTTAAGAAGACATAGTAACTAAACATGTAGGAAAACATAATGGAGAGCTAGTATTTTATTTAAGCAAACTGATTCCTGGACTTTTCATATTCATGTACTTCAAAGTAAGAATATATATATTCAAGGAAAAAAAAATAATTCAAGGAATTTGCAAGTGTTTCTAAAGTAGGCTGCCTCAAAAATTATCTGCTTTGCTTTTTCCCAGAGGACTTTGTGTCTCACTAGAAGTTCTTGTGAAATGCTTCTGCTAACAGTAACAAGCTCTTTCTGAAAATAGCGAATGTTATTCTCTGCAGCCTTATTGGCTTGAAGAACTAATTGACTACCAGATACCTAGAGGATGTGCCTGCTGATGCTTTTCCCCTTGAAAGGTCATAACAAGTGTGTATTAACACATAGCTGAGTCTAGAAACAAATTCTTAAGAATCTGGGAGATATGTTGATGCTTGTGCAGGAAATAAGTTGCCAAAAGAGTTGATCTGCCGCAAAGATGTGGATGACAGTGTTTATTTTTTAAAATCTTATTTTGAAACATCTGTATGAAACTATCTATGTCGTACCTATCGAACTCTTCTCCACAGACTAGCTATTCAGAAACAGATTTAGTTGGCTTTCCAAATGATTGCAACTGTGAGCATCCATAACAAATCCAATTCTGTGAATATGGAAGAAAACTTTATATATGTGTTATTTGTCAAGCTTATTTGTCAAGCTGTCCAAATTTTTGAAAGATATATTCATGGCCAGATGAAGTAGAGATGTGCTTGTTGAAAAAAATGCCAAGAGAGTAGAAGGCCTTTTCAAGTTACAGCAACTAATTAAACATAGGGACATTTGGGACATGAACTGCAGAAAAATTAAGAATATTAAGATTTAGCTTCTAAAGATTGAAAGGAAAGGAGTCCTATTTCTAGAGAGTGCAGCTTCTGAAGAAAATAAGTCTTTTGGCTACATAAACCTGCTGTTACAATTTGTGGTATAGTTCCGTTGGCTTTATTTTCTAAAAGTAGTGTGAGTGAGTTGCAGTTCAGGTTATGAAAATTTGGTTGAAGAACTGCTGTTTGTCCTCGGTTATTTATCTTCACTTGGGTTTTTCATTTGCTGTTTTTCTTTTTTCACCCCCATTTGGGAAAATGGTGTCCCTTGAATGCAGATGACAAATATGCATCATATAACTGGTAACATTCCATATTGATAATTTATATCCCTGTATTTTAAATTTGCATTTCTTTGTCATTACTTGTTTTTATAGAGAGGACATCAGGAAAGAGCAGGCAGTTCAGTGTGGAGAAGTGGCAACTTATTTTAAATTCTCTGTGTATTCCATGGTCTGTTTGTTTGTTTGAAAGACTGAAATAAACTTTCAGTGTTCTCCACTCTTATTAACATTGTCACGGTAGCTGGAAGAGAGAGGGAGAAATTATTCTCTGGTGGAAATGCTCTAAAACAATTTCAGACTAACTTGTAAATTCAGAGCATTTATGATGACTGTGTAGAATCCAAATTGTCTTTCAGATTTATAGACCTGGCAGTTGGAAAAGAACAGCTTGTAAAGTGAAATTCTGATTTGGAAAACATGGGGATGAAATAAATATGGAACCTGAAATGACATTGTTTGTTAGTTTTCTGACTATAACTGTCCTTTGATCCTCCTTAGCTTTTTCCTAATTTGTTCAATATTCTCCTTTGCATCACAGTGATGTGTCTACAGTGCCACAGAGGCATGAAGTATTTTACAAACATTTTAGACAAACTGTTACTCTGAGGTTCTTGCAAACAACTCTTACAGTTAATTTTTAGGAAGAATTTATTGTGAAGAATTCTATTAAAATCCATAATGTCTAAGAACTTGTGAATATATATTAAAAGATGTGCATGATTTTTATTTTGTACCTTGTTCATGCTAGATATGTAAGTGATAGAAGTAAATTCTACCAGAATTCTTTGGAACTTGTATCATAGATTTTTTCCTTTAATCTCCAGTTTTTAATTGGAGCAAAGAACAAACAGCTGAACAGATTTATCAAAGAAAAGATACATCATTCTTTTAAATTACATTCTAAATTAAGTAATGATGTGCTAATCAGTTCTGTGGCAATAATAAGGATTTTCTATCATTAATATTGAAGCCCAAGCTCTCAAGAGACCAAATGTTCTGTGTACACTAGACATAAGACTTGACAGAAACTTTCAGGGCAGAATGGTTGGCGTACTTTGTATGGACCTAAACATAGGCTAGCAGCATGTCTGAATAACAATCCTGAAGCTAGATAGAGAATTTTTCAATCAATTAGATATTTTTAAGCAGATGGGATTGAGATTTTTTTCTGTGAAAAGAGCTCCAGCTAGGTAGTAGTTTCTTAAATAGCCTGTTATTTAATGCCTATTAAACATGGCAGCCACTGTTGTCAAATTTCACATTTTGTTCTATTCCATCATGGCACATGTGGTAATGCCTGCTTTCAAAGGTCAACTGAAGTATTGAAACTCTGTTCCTGCATCTTCCCATCTACTCTTCATCTCCCACACAGCTTCATGTTTTAGACACTGCGTGGAGCTTCTTTCTACTTTTACCGTCCTGACATTTGCTTCTGGTTTTTGCTAAGCTGTTCAGGGATAAGACACGCAAAATTCTAATGTTTTACTTGCAAATATAATTTCTAAACATGGAAATGCATATTTGAAGTATGATTATTTGAAGCCAATTTATTTGCTGATTTTTTTTACCAGCTGTGAAATGGCACTTTTTCATTGGAATCAGAAGTAAAATGTTACACTGTCATTTGGATTTAATTACATAAGAACATGAACTTGTTAAGAAGCTAGTTTATCAGGAAGACACGCATACTTGCTTGTAAACAGACATAATTATTTGGAATGGTGGTGTCACTTTTTAACATTCTTTTCTAGGCCTTTATTAGACGCTGTTTAGCATACCGAAAAGAGGATAGATTTGATGTCCACCAGCTGGCTAATGATGCTTATCTTCTCCCTCACATGAGGAGATCAAATTCTTCAGGAAACTTGCATATGACTGGGCTATCAGCATCCCCTACACCACCTACTTCAAGCATTATTTCATACTGAAATTTCTCCAGCCGAGGAGTGGTATGATATCTTTGTGTAGGTGCCAGATGCAGACTTGAGCTTGGAAACATTTAAGTGTTTTTATTCGGGACAAGTTTGATAACTGTGTTTTCAGACTGAAGTCCTCCTACATAGTGTCATTTGTATGATTGGAATGGATCATGGACTGTGAATAGATACACCCTTCTTGAGAAATACCTTTAAATGTTGAAGGATGACACATAGTGTTACACACTAACAGGTATACTGTGTTTCAGACTGAAGAAAAAAGGTTTTTAGTTTTTTCTGGGGAACATTGTAAATAATCTTTTTAATACTTAAAGTACATTTGGTTGATACTGGAAAGTTCTAACATGAAGGGTAGTTTTTCATTATTTAAATAAAAAGGGTAGTGAGCAAATTTGAAAACACAGGAAAAAATACTGTGCCTGGATATAAACTGAATAAACTGCCATCTTTATGAGACATTGATCTTTTTAAACCAAAGTAAGGAGTGAGAGATGGTAAAAGATGTGTTCTGTATCAGATTCCTCAGATAAAATTGTAGTATTTTATTTGGCAACTCAGGCTTGTACCTCCAAAACGGTGGTGTTTTCACTGAATTTAGATTGGAAGGATGATATAGAATTCCTGGTACTTATTTCTCAAATAGATTGCTAATTTTGAAATCTGCTCAATTTTCTAAAAATACTATACTGGCTGTGGTATTGAAACTTGTGAAACTTTCTGGGCTTCTGATAAAAGCAAGCAACAGTATGAAACCAAATGCAAGCAGGTCATGTATAATGTTCTATGCAGGAATAATGATAAATTCCCTTCTAGCTCTATTGTAAATTGTTGTACAGATGTCACATTTTCAGTTAAATTTCAGCAACTTATTCCTGTACAAATGTTTAAAGTATGGCTTTTTCTAATTGGATATTGTATTTTTTTTAAGTCTCCCTCAAGGCGCTTTTAATTGCTGCTAAATGACGTTGCTTTTACTTTTGCAAAAGAATCAAATGACCTCCTTAAGGTGCAAGTCAACTGTATGTTATAGAGAGAATAAGAGTAGGTAATTCATTAACAATCGAGGCATGTAAAACAGATCTGTGTTGGCAATATACAGTACAGTTCTTTAAGCCAGTTTACTGCGTTCTCAACCTGCAGAGCACGTCGATACTAGATGTAGAAGATGCTCAAGGTTATTATCTATTTCTGGAAGTTCCTATCAACAAGGAAATGTTTCTTGTGGCTTGTACAGGTATTTCAAAATGTGAAACATTTTCTAACTGCTTTGTATGGTAGAAACTTATTTTTCAGAACAGTGTATCTCTCTCCCATTCACTATTCTTTTTACTATCCCATTCTTGATGCTGAATACCTGTATGTAATTTTGTCCATGTTACAGGAAAAGGAGGCTGTATTACCACAGGTTTTCATTTAGTATTGTACAGTTAAACTGTTGCTCTTGTTTCTGATGTTGCAAGCCATTTTGTTTTCATTGTATATAAAGAAACATTAACTGTCTCTTTAAGATGCTGCTGAAATTGTAGAGAATGTAGCCAAAACAGTAATAAACAATGACAGTTGAAATTTCAAGGTTTTCATTGCATGTTTTTTGCATTTCAACAAAGGTCTAATCAGCTAACCATATCACTGAGCTATACTTAGCTATTTAAAGCAAACTTTAATTACAAAAAAGGGCAATAATAGAATAATTAATTTAAATAACATTGGAGGTGAAAGGGAAGGATTACATGAAACTTATAACACCTATTGTAATGAAGTAACCAAAACATCATTCACTGAATAGACCTCACAGAAACAACTTCAAATATTTCAGTGAGTCTTTCTAGAATTCTTCACCTGTGGAGTAAAATTAGCTCATAGAATAACATTAGACTCACGTAGTGACTGTTTCTGCCTGATGTTACACCAGAATACTAGGACTAAGCGTAAGTTAAATTGAATACTGTTTTGCCTAGGAAAAGGATGTAGGACTGTGTTAACTATATTTATTTGTAATGTGTTGTGATTATCCCGTGTAAAGAGAAGTCTGGCAATATATTAGACAACTACATAAGTAAATGGAAGTTTTACAGCACATAAAATTAAGAGGGTTTATGCATTATCCTAATTACGTACACACTTGATTTTCCTGTTAGAATCTGGAAGGAGGCTGTTGCAGCTGAATACATGACACTTACTCCAGCTTTACAAATACACATTTCTGAATTTGCAGCACTCATTCAGAGAGAGTGCTATATAGAAACACATGAAAGAGAAGAGTCACCATCTTAACTTCTGAATTAAAGTTGCATGATTTTTACCTCCAATAAACACACTTGTGCTCATTTTAGCATCTTACGGTACTGTTAACAAAAGTTTTGTATCCTCCCATGGAGTCATCCTGTGGTTGCAAGAAGACATCTGAGCATGTTTCCTGCCTGATATTCAGCAATTGGTGCTGGGATACTGAGAACAGAGGCTGAGTCCAGAAGCCTGAATTACTGCTGCTCTTGTATGTAATGAGTAATGCTGATCCACTTCTAGGTAATTCATGCATAGGTTGTTCAATCTGTATTTCATGCAAATTTTACTAATTTCATCATATGTCTGTCATCCATAACTAGTTTTCCTAAGCTCACTTCTAATATAGCAGCAGGTAGACAAAAGGAATTAAGTTAAACTTTATCAGGGCCTTTTGAATGAACCTTAGAAACAAAAGGCTTCCTTTACTTTAAATACGTAAATACTTTAAAATTTTCACTGAAGTTGTTGAGATTTCAGTGTGGAATATTATTCACCCCTAACTTGGTGTATGGTAGTTGATAGATACCATTTTCATGGAGGCTGTTAATATTTTAGTTTTCTAGAAATTGATTTTAACACTTCCAGAAGACTGGAAGGGCATCACGTTACTAGCCGACTGCCCGAGTGCTTCTGGCTGCACACACTGGCTGTGAGCGACCGGCTGCGTAACGAGAGGGGTTTTCTGCAGCCCTTGGGATGCGAGGCATGGGAGCGGGAGCCCCTGGCACGGAGCTGCGGGCTGCCCATGACTACCTCTGCAGGTGACTGGATAAAGTTTTTTTTTAAATGAGCAAGTCCTGGACAGGAAAACATGCCCTAGGGTTTGAAGCATCCTGGGTGCTCCTGCTCTGGCTTTGATGACTTCCTGCATAGGTGGAAGCCACAGGTGTGAGGCAGGGCCATTGGCCTTCCCCATCCCACAGCTCCCCTGGCCAGGCAGGACACAGACATAAAGCTTTGGGAGCAGACAGAGGTCCCCAATAGCACTGCTGCTCCAGCCTTGCTCTGGGTTCAGCTCTGCTGGGCCTGTCACAGCACAGCAGCTGTGGCAGCCTCTCCTCTCCTGCCACCATGTTTCCTACAGGGGGCTGCAACCATGAGGCAAGCAGGCCACCAGGAAGGGTGAGAGGGGTCTCTGGGACATTACTTTTCTTCAAAGAGCCTCTGGGACTTGCTGGTTTTATCCAGAAAAGGGAGATGGTGTTGGGAATTAGGGACTGTGGAGTCAGGCCTGGTCTGAGGCAGGGGGGGTGGAGGGGCCAGGCCTGGGCAGGGTGTTGGGGCAGGTTCGGCCTCACAATTTGGAGGCAGAGTAGTGGTAAGAGTCTTCAGATTTTGGTGTCTGTAACACTTCAGTCTCACAATTGCTGTTGTATTTTTTTACAAATGTTTATTTTACCTATCAGCTGCTTTCAGAGGGAGGACCCTGGTTTCACAGGTAAGGGGTGCCTGGCAGGTTGGAATGACAGTGTTACCATCATGGTCTCACACTGTGGCCAGCCAGGCTGCTACATCTGTCTGCTGCTATGCCAGGGGACAGGGCTCTGTCATTTCCACAGATCCAGCATGATCCTGCCGAGGGCTTCAAGGTGTAAATACCTCTCCTGACACCAGGAGCATATCCAGCTCCCGCCGTCAGGGACTCTAGGGCTCAGGACTGTGTTGTGTTTGTAGGAAAGGTAAGACTGCAAATGTTTTTAGAGAGATAATGAATAATCCAACAATCTGTGACACAATCTGTGTTTCTGTGACCACAGATTGATTAAAGGAGTCTATTAAGATAAATAGAGCTCCCCCCTGAGTCACCAACCTGGAGGTTAAATATCTGCTACCTGAAGCCAATGTGTTTCGAGATCCCCTATCTACAACCAAAACAGGTTTTACTTGGTTCTTAATGCTTACTAGACAAGAACCCCTGAAAAACTCTAGTCTCTTCTAGTACTTAACTTTGGCTCAGGTTTACTTACATCCTGACAAATTTGTCCAATTTATTCTTAAAGATCCCCATTAGTAGCGGCTGCATTACTTATCCAAACAATCTACTCCAGGTTTTCCTAGCACCTGGTCTTTCTTGCTGCTTATTAAGCCTATTATTTCCAACCCTGTGCACTATTTTTTGGCGGGATTCCTGATAGCGGGGAAGGGCCCCAGGTGTGGCTCCGGTAAGAAGCTGAGAAGTTCCCTCTGCTCCAAAACCAGCCAAGGAGCCATTAGACAGAGACAATAGATGTGCCTCTGCGATTAACATGCGAAAGAACTGAGGTAAGATCTGAGCAGAGCAGCACTTAGAGAAAAAGAGCTGTGCTGGAGAGGTGAAAGGCAGTGCTGGGGTGAAGATCCGGGTGGTTGGTGAGGAAGAAGGTGCCCAAGCAACCCACGGTGAGATGGCAGCTGTCCCCCTGCTTTCGTGGAGGAACGCGGTGGAACATTTCCTGAAGGCGCCAGGAGGGGTGAACTTAGCCAGTGGACTTGGATTTGCGGCCAATGAAGCCGGATTATGTAGCCGTGGAAGACCCTGGCGCCAGGGGGGGTGAATGTTCCCGAAGCAGCCCGTGACTCTGTGGGAAGGCGGCGATGGAGCAGCTCTGGATCTCGTGGAGAGGATTTATGAAGGAAAGGTACGTGGAAAACTCTCTCCCATGGGAAGGACCCCCGTGAGGAAGCAGGGGAGGACTGTAAGGAATCCTTTTTCCTGAGGAAGGCGCGGCAGGAACCACCAGACTGTAGACTTAACTGTAAACCCCATCCCCTGCCCCCTGTGCCGCTGTGGGAATGGAGGGAGAGAAATCGGGAACAAAGCGCTTTGGGCCCGGGAAAAGGGAGGTGCGGGGGTAACATATGCAAGCCCTGCTCTTTGTGTTGTGTGTGTCCTGTATGTGTTTGATTAGTGTGAAATTAAATTATTATTTTTCCCCAAGTTGAGTCTGTTTTGCCCGTGACCTTAATCGCTGAAGGTCGCTCCTTGTCCTGTGTCTCGACCCATGAGCTTCTAGCTGGGCTTTGTTTTCCCCTTTGCAGCGTGTAGGGGGGAGTTCGCGGCCACGTGGCCGCTGCTTTGTTGCCGGTTTAGGCCCAGCCACTATAGGCATGAAGCACAGATCCCTGCCATGGGTAGCACACGATTTTTGCTTGCTGTACAGTCTCCGTGTATTTAATTTTGAACTTCATACATTCTTCTTGAGTATCCTTTGGAGTTAATATCATCCTTTGAACAAGTGGGGGTCTTGCGTTATTTATTTCAGATTTTGAACTCCTAACAGAACTTTAGGGAAACTCCTGCTGTTGAAGCAATTATTTTTTTCTATTTTAC